GAAGGGGACTACCACGTGGTAGTCCCTCATTGGTTGAGTTTGTCACACAATTACTAAATGGACAAGTCATTCAGTTTGGGCTAGGGGATAATTACACCATTAACATTTTTAACCCCTTAAGTAAAAAGGACCAACTTGAACCGTTTTTACAAAATATGGGACAATTGAGAACATTTGAAAATAGATAGGACCATTTTTAACAAACATAACAAACCGAGGGACCAAAATAGGTATTAAACCTAATTTATTTGTATGGTGTGCAGATTGCATATTAATTAAAGATACAAATTTATTGTTCGTATAATGTCTAATAGTTTCATATTATTTAGGAGTCGAGGTCAAAATTTCTTCTTTAATCTTCTGAGATACCTTTTAAGAAAAAAATTGTGACGAAGCATAGGCTCTAATGCAATATCTTGGATGAGGGGTGATTAACCCTAACTACTCGAAGGACTTGGAATTGGAATATTTGCACCTACCTTGGGATCGATAACGAGGTTTTAGGACAAACCATTAGTTCCTTAAACCTTCCATTGAGGATCAACAGTCATTTCCCTTAAACCTGCACTAAGGGGTTTATGTTTCTATCACACCTAATAGTCTCACATAACTTAGGAGTTGATGTCTAAAGCAGTTTAAATACTTTTTTCTCCCTCTGAGACACCTTTTAAGGACAAAACTATGACGAAGCACAAACTCTAAAGCAAACAATAACTTGAATGAGGGGTGATTGACCTTAATGATGTGACGCGGCTGACTTGGGATCGAAACATTAGCGCTCACTGTGGGGGTCAATAATGAGGTTCTAAGACGCACACTTAAGCTCTCCATTGAGGATGAACAATCATTCATACTCTTTCCTCCTTTTGAGACATCTTTTAAAGACAAAACCATAACGAAGTTCTAGGTTTCAAAACAGACAATACCTCGGATTCAAACAATCATTCATAATATTTCCACTCTTTGAGACATCTTTTAAGGACAAAACTATAACGGGCTCTAGGCTCTAAAGCGGACAATATCTCAAATATGATTATTGACCCTAAGGGTGTCAATCAATGAACTTGGAATGAGAATATTGACGTCCACTACGATGCCGATAAAGAGGTTCTAAGATGAACTATTGGTCCCTTAAACCCTCCATTGGGGATGAAGAGTCCTTAGACTTCAATTAAGAACTTATGTTCTTACCATACCTAATAATCCCACATCGCTTAGGAGTCAAGATCAAATATAGTTTAAATATACATTTCGTTTTTTACCTTTCAAAACACTTTTTTAGAAGAAAACTGTGACAGAGTACACATTCAAAAATAAAATAAAGAATGATTCACCTTAATATACTTAGAATTAAAATACTTACAAATTGTAAAATTGAGTTAAATTTACACTTTACATCTCAATATATAAAAATGGTGAGAAAATAATTGAGTTATTATATTTACATTCATTTTTTGGAGCTGAGACATAATTTGAGCTAAAATTACTTTGACAAAGTCTAATTCCACAATTGTTGTTGACTTAAAGGCAATTAATTTGTCATTATATATAAAAACAGTTTCTCTTCCTGTGGTTATTATGCATGGATATACATGTTGGTTCTGTTCAATTTTCGCTTATAAGCACGTTTAAAACGAAGAGATTATTGATTATGGGTTGGGTCATAATCGATATTTCCATATATATTTTTTATTTGAAGAGAATTTGTCATGGTGTATACACATATTATTTATACGAATTCATTAAAAGATGGACAAAATTTTATACAGATTTATTTTCACTTCTATTCAATTGTGTTTTCGGCATTATAATATTAAAATGGTATTTCAATATGTTAAAATGGAAAATATAAACTTAATATTTTACCACTAACAGATGCCAATTAGAAAATGTAGACTTAATACTTTACTGTAAGAAGTTAAAGTTAAAATTAGGAATTATGTTTTTGAATTAATACTTTTTCATTTTATATTTAAATTTATTTCAACTTTAATTAATATTTTAAAAAAATACTTTACATAAGTTGTTTGATAAAATTGTGAATACTGATAGATTTAGGGTTTATAAACATATATATCCGACTCATAATGGAACAAATAGTTTAACCCAATTGGGTGTCAATTGTTTAAATGATACTTAATATTTAATTATATCGCATTCTAAACACACTAATAATTTGGTATTTTTAAAACATATTATTTATATTATTTTTTTGAATTATATTACATTAATTAAATTAATCATTAATTTTCATTTTTCTTCTATTTTTTTTTCTTAATTCACAAAATGTCGTTCTTCACTTTATTTCTTTTTCTTTTATTCATTTTTAACTCTTTTATTATTCATTCCCTAATCCGAATATAGACTTAGACATATAATTAGATCACAACTTTAATTAATTATTTAATCATCTATTACTATTATAAAAAAATCGTTGTATTTACTTTTTCTAAATTATAATGTTACGAGGTTGTATTTCTTGTTTTATTGTTTTCATTTTAATTAAAAAAATCTTTCTAGATTCTGGTGATGCAAGGAATTTATGTTTCTGATACCTATTTATTTATAATTAAAATTGATTCAAAGCCTAATTTTGGAAAAAGGTTAAGTGTTGTTGTCCTGTCACAATTTTACTTTCAGGTTAACCTGAGAAACTTCCATTTATATCTTAGCATATATTGTTTATTTTTTGTTGCTATATATTCCTTCGTTTAAATATATTTTAATAAATAATATTTTTAAAATAAGTAATTATGGTTTCAAATTTCAAATTGTTTTTAAAATAAATATTCATATTTTAAATTTAATTAAATATTTGTGGACAAATCCATAAATTCTTTCATCAAATATAAAATTATTTTGAAATATAATTTTTTTTAATTCGCAGCTTATTTTCTGAGAGGTTTTTGGTAAAATGAATTAGAAAGAAATTTATCTACGGATTTAAAATTTACAGCAAATTACTTGCAAATTTGGAATTCGTAGTAAACTTGCATGCGAATTGAAATTAGCAACAGCAAAAAAAATCAGATTTTTTTCACGAAAATTTTTACGAATTTTCAACTCATATAGAAGTGATTATTCGTGAGAAAATTATGTGTAAATTAAAATAAATAAAAAATTATAAGATTTCTTCCAAATGTTTATACAAATATTAAAACAAATCCACAAAACGTGAAATTTCTACTTGAGAAAGAAATTATAGTCGTGAGTTATTTACAATTTTAAGAGGTAGCAGTTCAAAAGGAATTGCAAGGGATTCTAAATGAACTTTAGACTGTATAAAACGGAGTTTTGTATAATTTAAATGATTCTTCGTATAAGCGTTAGAGCCAAACAAAAGGAGCTTATCCTCCGAAATGGAATTTTACACGTGAAAGATCTTCTTCATTTTAATGTATCGCTTATATCTCATACTTGCTTTTCAATTCAAATTCCTTCAAGGCTGCTTTAAAATAATTTCATTATTCATCGCAGAACTTTATTCCCTTACAATTAAGTAAAAAAATAAATTGGTAAGCAATCATCACTGTTTTAAAATTAAATAAACTAGTAATTAAACTAGTGGATATGTTGTTAATTTATGGCTTATTACTGCGAACTTTATCCTAACTAATGATTATCAAATGTATATTATTTTGAAAGGTATATAAGGTATTATATACTAAAATACAAAATTGATAAGACACTTATAAATTGTTTGTTTGAGAGGATTTAATTATTTTTAAATATATTTATGTTATTTTTAATTATTTTTGTTCTAATACTCTAACCTCACCTATAAGTTAGGTTAAGAATGGTTTAACATTTTTTCGATAAAAGTGTGACATAATATCTTACGAATAAATTAGGTTTTAGTTTCCTTTCGACCCTTCAAACCGCAACCTATTTGAACCGTTCACACAACTTTAATTTCGGTTTACATACTTAAAAAGTTATTTTCATTTGTTCAAATAAAAGTGTTAACATGTTTGACTTCAAAATCGTATCTAACAAATATTAAATCATCTAGAATGCAAAAAATTATCATAGGTATATTAAATAAATTCTTATAATAAGATCAATTATGTATATTAAAACCATTTTTTTTATATATTTCATGGTGACTTTGAATGATGGAACACGGATTGAAACACGTGTTAAGATGGAAAATTGAAATCCACGTGAGAGCCACTAATAGAAAGAAGCTGAACTGGCGTTTGCCTCACATGTCTAGAATAATATTAAAAGCAAATAACAATAAGCTTTTCAAAAATCCACATCCAGTGACACAGATACAGTAAGCTTTGGTAGGGCTGATTTTAAGAGAAATTTGTTTTTCCAAAAGTCATATCCAAGAAAGGTTTTATATAAAATCATTTTATTAATTATAAAATAATCCAGACACCTGTTTAAAATAATTTTATAACGCTGTGTGGATTGTCAAAATTTGAATCCAGATGAGTTGATAATAAAACTTTAACTGAAATTTAATATTTTTACTGAGATAAACATCTTGATAAAAACTTACGAGTAAAATAAAAAGAAGAAATAAAATAAACTTAAATATAAACTGATGAGTTTATACAAACTATTTTTCCTTGGTATTTTTGTTTTTTTAATAAGTGATTATGAAAAAATTGTCCATATTCTTTATGCTATTTTCAAAGTCAAATCACAGACCTAATGTGATTTAATGGAAAACGTCTAATAGGGAAACGTATAAGACACATTAATTGGTGTATAAGAGGTATTTAAAACCACGTAAAAACAACTTCAGTACCATTAACACTAGGTAATGCATCTAACCAGATTTAAGCACCTAAAACAATTATCTTAAATTAATAGAGACAAACTCCTATTTTAAGTGTTAGTGTATTTGATTTAATATTTAAAAGTCTCGTGTCCAAATTTAGAAAACATAAGTTATATCAAATACTTTCAATTTATATATAAATCATGAATTCACATCCTATGAGAAAACAAACATATACTAAATCAATTCCCGAAAACACAAAAGATCAACAATTATTCCTGAACATCCTATTTCACATGTAGCGGAGAGAGTTAACCACATGCCAAAACATTTGACAAATTAGTAATCCAACCAACAAACATATACACTTTAACCCACACTTTACCACAAATGAGAAACAATTGATCTATTATCTCGTGCTGATGGGAACAAAGACCACAAAGTAAATCCTAGAAAACTTTGGCTATCATGGGTGGCGTTTTACAAAAAATTTTATATGTAGTTGATGAAAGCTTTTTACAAATAAAGCTGAAAGTTACTTGAAAACATCCTACAAACAAAGTTTTTTACAAATTCCTAGAAAACTAGACAAGTGATTGAATTAAATGCGTTTTATATCATACACCCCTATATACAGACATGTGAAAATATGCTCAATCTGACCTGGTACGAGATTTCATAGAGTTGACTCGGCAGATTAAGAAGCCACAAAATGTTTCTGTTCAGGGGATTGATTGGGCCGAATATGCCCACTGACAGACTTTGGTTTGAAAACACCCCACAAATAATACTTGTCACAAATTCCTGGAAAATTAGATAAGTGATTGAATTAAATACCTAACAGCAGATTTTCTAAATTTATAATAAAAGCCTAAGGTTTAGAACATACTCCGATCACTTGGAGGTAATAAATGTGAAGAAAAAATGAGGAGCTCTATGTTGTTAATGACCGCCTTGAGAGCAAATTCTTGTTCAATTACTTGATTCATCACACCATCAAAAATCGACTCATCCCTAATTGATGTTAGAGAATATACAAAACAAGGTTTACATAGAAAATTACAAGACCAGTCAGTATGAAGAATATATTCCATTGATAAAGCATACCTTTCATAATGTGGAAAGAAATAGAGACCGATACTATCACCGTTAGGAGGAGACGTATCAAAACGTTTGGGCCAAATACCACACCTCGATGACATCTCCACATCAAGCAGTGTAGGAAGCTGTGTCACTGCCAAATGCACTTTTGAGCAAGCTGCGCTTGACGCATAAGCAACAAGACCAAAATTATTTGCGTTCTTCAATATAAATTGTCCCCTATACATGAAAAAATGTATGTAAAGATAAGGTGCATAAATAACCCTCTAAGGGAATTATAACAAATTACTTGAACTTCACTTCAATGATTAACAGCACAAAAGCAGCCTCAAGACAGAAAAATAAAGCAAAAATCTCACGTCCAAACTGGATCACTAAGTGGGTGAGCACGGCTAGGCTTGTCAAATTCTGGATAACTATGGTGTTGAGTCGTTAAGGCTTCAGAGTAAACATATTGCTCATGTTCCGATGCTTTCTTGTCAGTTGAAATATTTATAGGACCTTTAGGTGATTCAGGTTCCTCATAATAGATGCCATTGTCTTCAAGGACCGGTTGTTTCTTCTCACTGTCATTTTTCCTAGTGCATTTATGAAAACCGTCAGATGATCTGACAGATTTTGGTTTTCTAACTGCAAAACTCTCCTTTTGCATTTTTATCCTTCTATATTTAGCTTCAGCAACATGAATTACACGCGTGCTTCTTCTTAATTCTTCAGATCCACATCTTTTGGGATTACGTGGTGCACAGTCCTCACATTTCCAGATAATTGTTCCATCATCTTCTGTATAGAACTCATCTAAACAATATCTGCAAATATATAAACTATTGTTCCATCATCTGTAGAACTTATTTAAACAATATCTGCAAACATATAAACTATTTGTTAAGCACATTTACATATATCAAGCTAGAAAAAGAAGTACACAACACCTTAGGTTCCGGTTTTACACTTTCACTTCTCCACTTGAAACACATGTATGAATTGTGGATATACTAGTATTTGGATCCGGGCAATATTATTTTTAAGACAATTGAATTTTGTTTTCCATAACAATTAGAAGTAAATCAAGAAGTTTAAAATAAATATTACACTTTAAATAATGATAATAATAAATATGATTTAAAATAAGAGACATTAACATAAGAATATTCACGTTCAATGCAACCATCTCTAACATCGACAATTTGACAACACTAATGATAGTAATCATTGTTTTGTTGAATTTGCAGATTCAATTTTTTGAACATCTATGCATGTACATGTGAACATCCATATACAGTTCTGTTTTGAATTTCAATGTGGAGAAGTCCATTCTCATATGCACATATACAAAACATACAACCTTATTACATTTAAAATGGTATTGAAAAAACAAAAGATCACAATGTTTGACAAAGACTCACAACCGTGTATGATTAATTTGTATACCACTTATTAAAGATTTTCAAATATTACTTTGTAAACCACATTTGTAGTTGTAGTTTCCATCTTCATCCAGAATTAGTATTTTCATTCCTTTCTTTTTAAAAAACCAAGAATAAATAGAGGAGAACTAAAAGTATGATAGAACAGAGGAAGAAATGAAAAAGGAAGAGATAGATTGAGAGAAGTAACTAAATGAGAAAAAAATAGATATTATACTTTAAATATGTATATGTTACTTACAATAATGTGGCCATTACTAATAAGAGTTCTTTCTTCTGGTATTGTAGAAGCTATTGTAGAAACTAAGCTTTTACCTGACATGCTTCTACTGGTATTGGCCAGCTTAGGTTCCAGTTTTACACTTTCACTTCTCCACTTGAAACACAAGTATGTATGAATTGTGGATAGATTCGGATCACATCAATATATAAACTGGTGCAGTGTAACATAGAATCCAAATAAGACGAATATTAAGCTCCTTAATAAATTTACTAATTAACTTTACACGTAGTTTATTCTATAGAGTTGCCTCTAGAACATCAGAGATTTAGTGAAATATTAGCTAGTTAGTCATTTGAATTTACAAATGCAGCAACAATTTCTCTAAATAAATTACTTTCCTTCATAAAGTAATAAAATAATAAATCTGAAAGTGGTAAGTGACCTTCAAAGAAGAAGAGATTGGAGGCTATATGCACACGGGCTTGCTATCACATAAAGCTTTCAGTGACTTTCACCGTAAGAGTTCAAATGTTGAGGTTCCCATTTTTAATACTAAAAGAAACAGCAATATTTGAATTCATACAGCGAAGGTAGCTACTTAAAAATAGAAAATATGAATCATAATCAATGAAGCCCATAAAGTGATAACCTATAATTCGGAACTTATAGCTTCTAAATTATTCAATAAAAGACCAAGCAAATTGATATTGTTGGTACATGGTAGATTAATCAGGGCTAATACATTACTGTTGAGAAATTCCTACCGCAATTTTTATAATTTGGAAGATTTTTTCATTAATGTATAACAACTTGTAAGACAAAAGTACATAATATACATGCTCCATCTTGAGGAAATCTTAGAACATATAATGTATGTGTACATTCAGTTAGTTCATTAGTTATACTTGTTTCCTCTTATTTAATTCCAAATTACAATTTTCATAATGTGAGTCTCACTATTTTTTCCTTATTCCTAAATTTTTGTTGGGTTAAACATTGAAAATTATGCAGTATCGGTGACTTCCTATTTTTTCAATGTATAAAAGTAAAAATTAGAAGGGACAAATAAATCAAATTCAAATTCTGTTCCAGCATACCATAAATACCATACAATGCGAAAAACTCATACCGTATTAGTGAAGTTGTAGGAAAACCCTAGAAAGGGGGGTTGAATAGTATTTTCATAACTCTTTTTCGTGGCTATAAGGTTGATCATGATGTACGTTAAACTTGTGAGCTAGTTGTGTTCTATCTATAAATGTTATTCTGTTAAGTTCGTTTATAGGACCAACTCACTCATTTCCCAAGAGATTTGTTTGTAATAATTGACAACAGTAATTTTTACCATTATCTGTGGTGCATTTTTATACCAAATCAATTCTCTTTGAGCTTGAAGCTTCTTTAATCCTCTCTTTTCTCTGACTTTCGTGAATAAGTTTAGTCTAGGTTACACTTAATGGTTTTCATCATTAATTCTCTCATTTTGTAGGCAAATTGTGTGCATTGGAAGAGCATCAAAACCATCAAGGAGTTGGAACCCAGGAAAAGCAGCAAAAGCATCAAACTAGAAGGCACATGAAGGCAAGCTCCTCGCCTGGGTGCCCCCTCAGGGGCACTAAGCGCCATTTGTTGCGCAAATTCGCCTGGGCGCCCCATATAGGGCGCTGAGCGCCATCCAGTTCTGCTGAGCTTGTGCCGAGCGCCCTCCTGTCTGGGCACTAAGCACGACACTTGCTGATGTGGCACCCTAGACCTATTTAAGGCTACCATGCAATGAAGATACTAACTTCTTGGCGGCTAAAGCACGACAACGCCATTTTGGACCTCTTGGAGCAAGTTTGGGTGTGTGGGAGCTCTCCATTCCTCTTCCTTGGGTCTTCATCTCTTCCATTTTCTTCCGTTGTAAGCTCAAGCTCTCCATGACAATGCAGAGCTAACTTCATTTTGTTGGGGAATGATGTAACTATTAAACTCTTATGTAAATGAACTTGTTTTTAATGAGTATAAGCTTCTTTCATTGATTGTTAGTGTTTATTTCCTTTTCTTAAAGCTTGTTATGATTTGATCAACCATAGCATGATTCTTTGGTTTGCTTAATGTTGGAAAATAAAACTGGACTAAACACCTAAAGGGAATTGTATCTAGGAATAGAACTTGAACCTTTGGTTGTCTTAAATCTCATTTCTTAAAGCTGATGAACTTGTTCGGTTTTCCAAGGGATTGGAGTTTAATGAGTAAGTCTAGCCTCTCTCTACCAAGGGATTGGGTTTGAGTAACTTAGTAGGTTGACATGAGCAATTTAATGCAGAAGACATGATGTGCATTTGTATGAGTGTGTAGTAGGTAAAATCATACCCCAACATTACCAATCCATATCATCTCGAATCATTCCATTTCCTAGTGTTTTAACCACAAAAGTTCAATTTACAACTTATGCATAATGTTTATTTTAATTGCACTTAAATCTCACTCAATGGAATCATTCGTTAGTCTAAATTAGTTAAGTAATTATACGATTGTTTAGTGTCACACGAGTATTTGGTCTTACCGGTTTATTACTTGATACGATTCAGTACGCTTGTCGGGGTCTTAACAATAATCCTTCAGGATGTTAACGCTCATTGAAGACTTGTTGTTGACTTGTGTGTTCAGAGATCACTTCCATTAAGAGTCAATCATTTACTAAATAAACTGTAACAAACAATTTTTATATTGGTTCACTCATTAGAGTTATGTCCAATTCTCCTCTAAGTTAGAGGGTTCCATTAAATATTTAATGAAGTATATTTGAATATTCTAACCACTCCTGTTATCCCTAGTCAAACTGAGTAATCACTATTACTCTGACTAGTTGAGTTTCGCTCACTCTTGGTTGCACAGTATTCTTCATCACTCTTGGTATCCCTAGACGCTTCTGGTGTCTCCTTGACACACCGTCTAGTTTAGTTTAGCCCACTCTTGGTTGTCTCTGTCCAATAGTAACCACTCATTACTATGACTTCGACTAAGTTTCACCCACTCCTGGTTGGGCAATATTATTCACCACTCCTGGTATCCCTAGACGCTCCTGGTATCCCTAAACGCTCCCGGTATCCCTCTTATACACAGTCTAATTGAGTTTCACCCACTCTTGGTTGTCCCTGTCCAACAATAACTCCCAATTATTGTGACCTCAACTGAGTTTCACCCACTCCTGGTATCCCTGGTAAGCAAATAACCTCCATTTACCCTAGAACAGTTGAGTATTCGCACTACTCCTAGTACTAGAAAATTTTGGTATCCTCTGATACGCTGCCTAGATTTCCTTAACTCTCTTGAGTTAAGTTACAAGTGTTTTGATTCTCTTCAGAATTGCAATCAATTGATTGCTTACAAGCCGTTTAGACTATTACTCTCACAGAGAGGATATATTTTTAAATACAATAAAGTCTATAATACTATTACAAGTCGTTGTGGAGAGCTTGGCAGTTGACTTTCGTGACATGTACTCCTTTTGATCTCAACAATCTTGCTATTGTCCAGCTTCTTTGATGAATGTTGGGGTTTTTGACGTGAGTTTTATGCTCTTCCTTTGAGTTAAGAAGTTGAACCTCAAAAACCTTTAGCATACCCAACCTCTTCTCAAGAACCTCAGCTCATCATCTCTCTCTGAAAACTTCCCCCTACTCTCTACCTTCAACCATGGCAGCAGCTTTACTAAACAACCTTTCTCTTACTGAAGTCATGGAAGTTATGAAGAGGACAAGCAGCATCCGTCTATTTGATGATGAAACTCTTCTCTTGGAAGACCTTGGCAGAGATTCAAGCACAAGAAATTGAATTATCAAGAGTTAGATGGCATGGAGCAGAAAACTACTTCTCATTGGACGAGCCCATTCTTCTAGAACTAGTAAGAGAGTTCTGAAAGAACGCTCAAGTTGAGCCTGACTGCATACTGTCAACGGTTGCTGGAAAAACGATTGTTGTTGATGTAGAAACCATAGTCGAAGCAGTCAACTGCTCTCGTTTCAATGACTACTTCATGGAGGATTGGGACAAGATCTATGCCATCGGGAAGGGGGAGAAGGTTCTCTACGGAAAGAACTTTGAAAAGAGATTCATGTGAAATGACATTGTCATTGAACAATAAGTGAGCCAGCAAAGGCTCTCCTCCACATCTATAGGAGAACCTTCCTGCATTCTAATTCCATCGGCGAGCTGACCTAAGTTGGAAACGTTTGCCTTCTTCAACCTGTTGGCCAACACCGACTTCCATCTTCCTCATCTCATCTTTCTTCATCTATCACGAACAATGGTTAACTATGAAGCCAAACAGGAAGGACGTTACTGCTCACGCCTTATCTTCGGGATAATTACTAAGCAAGGAGTCATCAATCATATATCGACTCCAACTTTCCCAACCCCAACTCTGGATGTCATTCTCTTGAATGGTGCTACGAGAGGAGAGAGACTCCTCATCAAAGAAAGAGAAAACCCTAGGAAACGTTGCAGAAGGATAGAAGAAACGTATGGAAAGGAAAAAGTTGAAGGGCAACAAAGACGCAAATATTGTTCCAAGTCTGCCAGCTGTACTAGAAGATACTTCTGCTAAAGGAACAGTTAATAAAGTTAGGCGATTAATTGTCAAAAATAATGAGCGTCTAACCATCAGAATTGAGAGATTACTGGAAGAGCATAGAAGGGGGAAGTTCATGTTCAAAACCTTCTAAACTCCATGCAGTATAACCCTTCCAAACCCTAAGATAGAATCTAGATTTTTTTTTGTCGTTTCCTTTGTTCTGCTTGTTTCTTTCACTAGTTTATCTTTTCCATATTTGTCTTTTCAATTGTGATGTTTATCTCTTGATTGCTTAATTTAACAAGCTTACTTCTATTCAATTTTTGTCTTTTGTAATTATAACAATAGCTAGAACATACATAACAACAAAATATTAGAAGACAAAAATCTTAAATAAGCCTAAAGGTTGTCAAAAGTTTGAGTTAACTTGATGAGCCCATAACCACGAAGACTGTTTTTGGACAAAGGCCCACACATGGGACGGCACTTGGAGTGGAAATATTATATGACTGTGTTGACCTTCTAGATGGCTTGGGGCATCCTTGGAGAGCAAGGAGCTGCCTAGCTCATGCTAGGTTGACCTAGCTTCTAGAAACCTATGTTTTTTTTCTTAGAGGTCCCTACCATGCCTATATAATAAGGTCACAACTACTTGTAAAGGGTTGAATACTTTGAGTAATGATTATATTCAGCCAAGTGTGTCTTTCTTTTCTAGAGTGTACTTCTCCCTTATGTTATCTTGAACTTGGTTCAAGTGATGACAACCACCACATATCTTAGGTTGATCCATCCCCAAGTGGTGTGCCTCCTTCCCCTTCTTCTTCTTCTCTCTTTCTCTTCATCTTTTGTTTCTTTTTCAAGTTCTTATGCTCTTGTTCCTTGTATGTTCATGCCATTTATCTTGTTTTTATTCTCTTATATTGGTTCTTGTTTAATTGAACCCTCTTCTTCCTCTTCTGCTCTTGTGAAGTGAACCTTCACATTTAGATAACCTCAAAGATTATCTTCATGTTCAGTGAGGATCTTTCTTATAGTTTTCATAACCACAAACACCTTGTAATCAAAAATTAAAATGAACCCTTATCATAACTCCTACAAGATTACGATTGATATAGCTGATACAAAAAACGACCAAGATAGAACAAACAAGTTAACTTCCCGTCAAATTCCTTTTTAAGTAAGCTACAATAAACTTTTTTGAACTAATAAAATTTCATAAACTAGTCAAAAGCAAGCCAAACTGTATCTTTAATTAGTCCTATCCTTATCATAAGGAAATGTAACCGTGTCTGTTTTGATAAAGAGATTTAATAAAAGTACCTGGAATTTTAGGCAAAAATCAGGGGAATATTTTGTCTTGGTACTTGAAATCAGTTGAGGAAAATACAAATCTTAAGGGATAGATAATGTAGGTTAAGATCCAAGGATAACAGAGCAACTAACTATGCTTATAAAAGGTACCTCTCTCATTATGGGAAGTCTCACTCAATTCTGAATGCTCTAACTAGAAATTCTAAAAATCAAACCAGAGTACTTTTCATTAGAACAAAATCAATATAGTTTTTTTGTCATTCATTATGACAATATTTTATTAAGACTCAAACTACTAAAGAAATTAACTCTTTTATAAATATATATGTAATTAAGTCATCTATGTAAGTTTAAAATTTAAACAGTACATAGTTCACTATTGTGATTTGTTATTTTTATTTATTGTGAAGTTTAAATATTGAGTTATTGTTTTCTAAAATGTATTGCTGTGTATATATGTCAATACCATTAATATTAGGTAAGCTCTTAAAAATTTACAAATCAAATCTACGAAAAATGTCATGAGTTTATGTAGAATCTCAGACTTCACAACCTTGCCAAAATTGTATCAATTTTAAAAGTCATTAATACATATATATCTACTCATTTTACAAAACGTAGACATTACTTTTGGCTTAACAAATCATGCAGATATCAAATCCAGTAACACAAAAATAATCCCAATTAATTATCCAAAGACTAAGTCACAAGACACATACCTATGCTGAAAACAAGCTTTACATCGGACGCAATATACGTGGCACTTCGGATTTCCTTTATCACCACATATTAGACAGCTATTTGTCTGTCAAATCCATTGAGACAATTGTGGACACGCATTTTAATATTAGGCCACGAAACAAACTATAAGTAGAAATGTTTTAGACAAAGGAAAAATATTGCTATCAATAATCATAGATAAATTGGTTGAGTATTGAGATAAAAGACATATTAAAACTGCGCATCAAACTACAAAAAGGGTCCTGTCAACATTTTCTATTAAGAACACACAAACTCATCAAAACAATCACAAGGTCAAGTATCCATTACTCCTTACATATCCACTGTTGAAATAAATTAAGAAAATTGGGGCAACACAAATCAGAAAAATGAAAAATTAGTTATTCCTTAGCATATCTCCTACATGAACACGTTAAGCAATGCAGCATTTTCTAGTTCAACATAAGAAACTCAAATATGGGTCAATTACCAGCTGCAACAAATTTCTATGAAGTCACGACTTATAACTCAAAATTCCAAAGGATTTTGAAAGCAAGATGCAAGCTTTCGGAAGTCAAAATTATATTAACTTCAGAATATTTGTATCTAATTTTATGCTCAAAGTGTTCACAACAATCTTTAACATCCTTCTAACTTCATACAGAATTACGATATCTAGCACATTTATACGACACTTTTGGGGCATGATAAATGAGGATGCCCCTAAAACGATGTCATAAAAGAAAGAGTATTGCTAGTAGAGACTTGTTCATGCTAAACCCTACGCATGGCAATATATAAGCCATAGAATTCATATATATTTTAACAATTTTGAAGATACTAAAATCTTATTTAACCTAATTTTAACAATTGCAAAAACATTTGATTATAGAGTGCATCTAATATTAACACAACACACTACTCCAAAAGTAGGTTAAATGATCTTTTCGGTCCTTGTAAGTCTATATTTTTCAAGTTACACATTCAATATTGACAAATAAATAAATAAAAAGTCACTGAAAATAACTTTCATATGTCAAGGACATTTGAATGAAGGATGAACATGGGATATGAAAGTTACTTTTAGGAACTTTATATTAATTTATTAAAATTCTAAGACTAAATTGAAACCTTAACATATTTTCAAAGACCAAAATGATCACTTTACGCTAAAAATAATTAGTTATTAAATGGATCAAGTCTAATGGATTGTCCAAGATCCAGTCATATTAAATAAACTGTGACATAAATTGAATAAGACATCTTAACCTGGCTCCTTTATTTATAGCCTACATGCAGTGAAACTTCAATCAAATCTACCAAATCAGCACCCAAGATGTTTCCAAGTTGTTTAATGTTTGTTTGCTACCAGACAATTCAAACTTGCCAACTTTATGTTGAACCTGTGCGTGTGTGTGTGTGTGTTAATTTTTAGGGGAGATGGATTAAATTGTAGGAAAGGATTATAAGAAGTGTTAGCTTGTGTAATTGAAGCATCACCAAGGCTAGTGTGGCAAGGTTTAGGGAAAGAACTAAAAGCTAAAATTGCCATAACATCTATAGATCTAGAAGACTTCTCTGGCTCAAGAAATTAACTTAGAGCAGGATAGATAAAATTGAAAATTTTATCAGTGTTTAAAAATTGAGATAATAATAAAGAGTGAAGCCTGATTTAAGAAGCTTGGAAGTATGTTTTTATTGCTGAAACGTTTAGAGAAACTATTTAGATAAATCTTTCTACAAAAGCATATCGTATAGGAAATAAGAAAAAAATAAAAATTATATATTTAAAATTAGTTTATAGATAAACTAAAGCAATCTTTTTTCAAAATAAAGATGATATATATATATATATAAGAAGTGTATTCTTAATTCATTTATTTATGCTCTTCTCAAGCATGTATCTTTAGAAAAGTGTTCCACAAACAAATCCTACTGTTAATAATATCAGATCAGGTAAAGTAAAAAAGAAAGGGTGAGCAACAAAGAGTGTGAGCGACCGAGAATCGGAAGTGGTATAACTGTGATTCGATTTTTCGAAATCTAGAAAAAGAAAAAAAAAAATATTTTCAAGAGTGAGAGCAATGTGCATGTGGGCATACTTTTTGTCTTTTAGAATTAGAATAAAAGAACAATATTGAATCGCTAAACTTTGACTACGACGGTAACGTCAAAATTCTCAGAAACTCCACTGCCAAAATTGACTGAACTAGTTTCGATCTTTCAGAAGCTATTCTTGACGAGTAAAGTACTGTGTATAAAAAGTTACGAAATTGGTTGGAAAAAGAAGTTCACATTGCATCGTGAAATTCAAGGGTTAGAGAAAGGGGGAAAAACAATGAAAAGATGTGTACCTTTTCTCGATGATGAATCATCTTCACAAATCGCTTTCCCTGAACCGATGAACAATTATCGCCAAACGCTCAAGTTAAACTGTTCTATCATATGTCTCTCTTCTGTTTTCTTTTTCACCCTAGGTCTTTCTATTTTCTCTTCAGTCTTTTTCTTCACATAACATCATTTACTATTTTCTTTTTAATTTTGTTAAAATTTACTTATTTATTTATAGTAAATTAAAATGAAAAATCATAATGAGATATTAATTTTCCCTTATTTCGTGCCATTTTTTAAGACACGGATTTTACTAGTAGAGTCCGCAAAAAAACAACTTAATTGTTTTTCTTTTTCTTGTATACATGAAAAGTTAAATTGTAATAAATGTTTTTTTTTTCATGTATGTACAGTATTCTTTTTACTTTATAATTTATATTTATTAAGTATTCTGATTTGTTTATCTAAACATTTAGTCTACTCGAATGGTTATTTTCATCATAGGGGCAATAAAGCCATGTCTTTTTTGGGTAGGATATTTTGTTTTTTTTTTGGTCAAAAAGCCATGTCTATTTCCGAAGAGGTTTTACTAGAATAATTTTCTTTTTAAAAATAATAATACTTGAAACATCCTTCTCTTGAAATTGGCATGAAATAACTGAACAACCATATCTCTTTCTCAATTTTTATTCTACTTTACGATTCACATATTTAATATTTTGGTTTAAATTTTGGTGATTACCATTTCAAGAGAATGAACTACCATGTTTCAAAGTTATTAATATATCACAAGGAAAAAATAATAATAGCATATCCTTTAAAAGGTTATGCAAGTTTTATAAGTTAGACTTAAATCTCTATTACTTTAATATGTTGTTAAAATCATAAAAATATATCTTAGTTTTAGTTTGAACTTTTCATGTTATTTATTATCTCTTCCTTTTTGTTTCTTTGAGTTCCATGTCTTTTATTATTAAAGTCATGTGTAAAAATTTGAAAATAAGTACAAAAATAAAATAGAGAGAACTTTTCCACTTACCCGATTAAAAATTATGTAATAGATATTTTAGAAGTCATTAGTGTTTCTAATATGTTATTAAAAATTCATTTTATTAAAAAAATACCTAATTTTAAGCATATCATCTTGAAAGATTCATAAAAGAATATAAAATAAGGTTGATATCAAAATATTTTAATCAAAAATTCAACATAAATTATTTCATAAATTGCCTCAATAATAAGTTCTCTATTTGAGTGTTCTTAATTTTAACTTATATTCATAAGTTAGTATATACAAAATAGATGTTAAAACAACCTTTATAAATAATGACCTAAAAGAAGAATTTTATACGACTCGAACTAAAAGAATATGTAATTTATAATAAAAGAACAAAAGAACGTAAACTTTTAAAACTTTTTAATGAGCTAAAATAGGCATAAAAACAATGACATCAAAACCTTACTAAATTTTTGTGATGGTTTTTTTTGCTAATGACTTTGATAAAGGTGTGTACAATAAATTTGAAAACCGTCATTGACATATGAGTAATGTAATGATATAGTTTAAAGAACAAAATTATTTAAGATTTTTAAAAGTGAGAAAAATAGGTGAAAAGATATATATTAGCAAAGAATAATATGTCTATAATATTTAAGATTGATAATGTAATAAAAATTTATTTCTGTTTGGAAGTGAAGTTAAGAGGCTGAAAATTTTTTTTAACAAACATTCGATTTGGAATGCTCTATATGCGTCAATGCATTGCAATGCGATAATAATGATATTTAAAAACAAAACAAATAAGAGAGAAAACATACATATACAATATATATATATATATATATATATGT